GACGCTCGTGTCTCACAGACACTAAATCCGTGGTGTGTTGTGACGCTCTGTGTCTCAACGGACACTAATCCGTGGTGTGTGTGACGCTCCGTGTTCACACGTCACTATCGAGGTGATGGTGTTGTGTACTTCCGTGTCTCAACGACACTTTATCGTGGTGTGTTGTGACGCTCTGTGTCTCACACGACACTATCAGTGGTGTGTTGTGCGCTCGTGTATCACACGACACTTATCGTGGTGTGTTGTGACGCTCCGTGTCTCACGACACTAATCGTGGTGTGTTGTGACGCTCCGTGTCTACACGGACACTTATCCGTGTGTTATGTGTTGTGCGCTCCGTGTCTCACACGACAATTATTCGTGGTGTGTTGTGAACGCTCTGTGTCTCACACGACACTATATCCGTGGTTTGTTGTGACGCTCGTGTCTACTACGGACACTTATCCGTGGTGTGTTGTGACGCTCGAGTCTCCCACGACACTGATCCGTGGTGTGTTGTGACGCTCCGTGTCTCACACGACACTAATCCGTGTATGTGTGTTGATGACGCTCGTGTCTCACACGACACTTATCCGTGGTGTGTTGTGATCGTCCGGTCTCACACGACACTTAATCCGGGTGTGTTTGTGACGCTCGTGTCTCACACGGCACTTATCCGATGGTGTGTTGTGACGCTCCGTGTCTCACACGACATTATTCCGTGTGTGTTGTGACGCTCCGTGTCTCACACGACACATAATCCGTGGTGTGTTGTGACGCTTTTGTGTCTACACGACCTTATTCGTGGTGGTGTTGTGACGCTCGTGTCTCAACGACACTTATCCGTGGTGTGTTGTGCGCTCTGTGTTCTCACACGACATATATCCTGTGGTGTGTTGTGACGCCTCTGTGTCTCACACGACATTATCGTGGTGTGTTGTGACGCTCGTGTCTCACCGACATTATCCGTGGTGTGTTGTGACGCTCTGTTGAATCCACCGACACTAATCCGTGGTGTGTTGTGACGCTCGATGATCTCACACGACACTAATCAGTTGGTGTTGTTGTGACGCTCGTGTTTCACACGACACTTATCCGTTGTGTGTTAGGTGACCGTCTGTGTCTCACACGACATTATCCGTGTTGTGTTGTGACGCTCTATGTCACACACGACACTTATCGTGGTGTGTTGGGACGCTCTGTGTCTCACCGACACTTATCGTGGGTGTGTTGTGACGCTCCGTGTCTCACACGTCACTTTTCAGTGGTGTGTTGTGACGCCTGTGTTTCACACGACCACTTATTCACAGTCGGTGTGTTGTGACGGCTCGTGTCTCACACGAAACTTATCGTGGTGTGTTGTGACGCTCGGTGTCTCACATCGACACTAATCGGTGGTGTGTAGTGACGCTCTGTGTCTCACACGACACTTATCCGTGGTGTGTTGTGAGCTCTGTGTCTTCCACACGCACGTATCCGTGTGTGTTGTGGACGCTTCCGTGTCTCACACGACATTATCCGTGGTGTGTTGTGACGCTCTCTGTGTTCACACGACACTAATCCGTGGTGTGTTGTGGACGCTCGTGTCTCACACGAACACTAATCCGTGGTTGTGTTGTGACGCTCGTGTCTCACACGACATTTATCCGTGGTGTGTTGTGCGCTCCGTGTCTCACACGACACTAATCCGTGGTGTCTTGTGACGCTCCGGTCTCACAGACACTTATACAGTGGTTGTGTTGTGACGCTACGTGTCTCACACGACACTTGATCCGTGGTTGTGTTGGTGACGCTCTGTGTTCACACGACTCTTATCCGTGGTGTGTTGTGACGCTCCGTGTCTCACACGACCACTTACTCCGTGGTGGTTGTGACGACTCCGTGTCTTCAACACGAACACTAATCCGTGGTGTGGTGTGACGCTCCGTGTTCACACGACACTTATCCGTGGTGTGTTGTGACGCTCACCGTGTCTCACACGACACTATCCGTGGTGTGGTTGTGACGCTCTGTGTCTCACACGACACTTATTCCGTGGTGTGTTGTGACGGCTCCGTGGTCTCACCACGACACTATCCGTGGTGATGTGTTGTGACGATCAGTGTCTCACACGACACTTATCGTGGTGTGTGGTGACGCTCCTGTCTCACACGGACACTAATCCGTGTGGTTGTTGTGACGCTCCGTGTCTCACACGACAATATCCGTGGTGTGTTGTGTCGCTTGTGTCTCACACGACACTTATCCGTGGTGTGTTGTGACGCTCCGTGTCTCACACGACATTTATCGTGGTGTGTTGTGACGATCTCGTGTCTACCACGGTCATTCTCCGTGGTGTGTTGTGACGCTCCGTGTCTCACACGACACTTCTCGTGGTTGTGTTTGTGACGCTTCCGTGGCTCCACGACCTTTCCGTGGTGTGTTGTGACGTCGGTGTCTCACCGTCACTTATCCGTGGTGTGTTGTGCGGCTCGTGTCTCACACGACACTAATCGTGGTGTGTTGTGCGCCTCTGTGTCTCACACGACATTTATCCGTGGTGTGTTGTGACGCTCCGGTCTCACACGACACTAATCCGTGGTGTGTTGTGACGCTCTGTGTATTCACACGACATTTATTTTTTTTTGACATTTTGTTTTTTAAAAAAGAAATTTTCCCATCATTTTGAATTCATATTTTCTAGTCGCGGGAATGCCCAATTTTAAAATTTTTAGGGATGAAAGCATTTTCTCCTTAGATGGTTTTTCTCAGTTTATCTAATTTGTTTTAAATTTTGCAAATGTAATTCAAGATTTTAGTCCTTTAGGATCCTAATTACATTTAACACCTAGGTGGCAAATTCGTCTCTCGTGTATCAACCATACCTTCGACTTCGGCTAGTCTAATTGCTCGTTCCGGTCTCATGCCTTTAAGTGTGCCCACCTGCAAGACTGTTTATCGAGTGTAGTTCCAAGGGTCCTTGTGTCACTTTTTGGGTTTTTATAAGCTCTTTGAAGAGACTCTTCCAGTAAGTTTTACATATGTTCTAATAGAAGGTTGTTAGTCCTAACAAAGTTATCCTCTAGTTGACTAACCAGTGCAGAAAACCGTTTTTCGTGTTCTCAAACATGTTTCCTGTGTGTGAGTCTTGGTACCTCGTTCCGTCTGATGCTAGTTTATTTTTTTAACACCCTTAGTTCTTACGTGTGTTCCAGGAGCTATGTGGTTCTGTACTCCTTGCATTATTGTGTTTAGCGCATTTGTCAACGGGGAATTCCATCCCGATTTTTGACCGCTAAAGCAATGTTACATTTTTCCGAGGAAGCCCCCCGATGTAGGTCAGGGGAACACCTTGCATCGTTTCATCCTTTTTGTGCACTACCTCACGAAGTATCGCTGCTCATCCAACGTAGTGTAAGGTCTGCGTCCCTATACGTAAGTCGCAAATGCCAAGACATTTTGTGTTTTGGTGTGTCCGTTGCCTATCGGAATATTTGTTGTGAGCCACCCATTAGACGTGTATGAGGAAGTACGTCCAAAATTCGCTTGGTACTCTCTAGAACGAGTATAATCACTCCTAGTATGATGGGTTCTTTTTATGGCTGTAAACCTGTCCGGGGAACATGTGTTCCATTGCAGAACAGGCCCTTCCCAATTGGTAGAATTGGCACGTAACCACCGCCAATGGGTTTAGTGAAATATGTAAATTAGATCCGAGGTTAAAGTCTAATGTTCCCTATTATGGTTTTAATGTTTCTCAACGTTCCGTGGTATTTTGGAATAACATCTTTTTGTGCCCCAACTCCTGTTTGCTAAACTTCTGTATTTATTTCTCAAACTTTCAATGGCCTGTCAGGTTTATGACTCTGGTCAATTAAACCATTATGTACAGTTGTTCTTAAAGAAGGTTGTATGATCCGTTACCACACACGTATCCTTGGTGTACGCCCTTGTCAAGTCCTGATAGTAATTTATGACTCTAGCCAAGGGACTTTCTCTGTTTTAGTTTTATGGCAGAACTTTCCGTATACATCTCGGGTTTCATCATTCGAGACTTATCCGTATTCCGCATATATGGAGTATTAGTTCTTCTTGATCCTTGGTGTGTGTTTGGCTCGGAATTGTGTTTTCCCCTCCCGGGGGGGAGATCTGGCCCCCTTTTCCCCTTT